GTGCCGCCAATTGTTTTTGGCGGAGAGGATTCCTCTCTGCCTATATCGTTATGGCATTGGAATGAATTAGGGATTAGGGTTTGGAGGTCGAGATTCGGATTAATGGCGGGAGTCCGCCGCAGAGTGAGGGATCACGATCTCGAACCCATGAAGCTTGTCACCGAGAATGGGATTGAAGAGCTCGCCAAGTTGACCGTGGAGGACATTGACAGCAACAAGCTGAACAAGAAGACGCCGGAGTTTTGCCGGCGGCAGCGGCAGTGGGGAGGTTGAAAAAGAAGACGCTGGGCGGTTGTGGAGAGGAGAAAAGATTTAATTTACTTTTATTTATTTATTTTATTATTTTAATGATGTGGAAATATTAAAAAAAAATAATTTTTTTATTAATTTTTTAATCGCCACGTTAGACATTTAACAGTCAACTGTTAGGGTTGACTGCAAAGTTAACGGAGAGTGACTAAATATGGACCGTTTTATTAATTCGAGTGACCAAATTTGATATTTGTTTTTTTCAGTGACTAAACATGACACATTTTAGTAAACCCAGTGACCAAATGTGTCTTTAACCCCATATGATTTATTTTGTTAGTTAATCTCATCTTATACTTTATACTTTGTTGGTATCATATATCGTTTAGTTAATAAATTTTAACTACTCCAAATCATGTTATTTCATTGTATCGAAGCAATCTATGATGCATAAATTCTTTTTAAAGTAGAAAATAAGATATATTTGCTCACATACTCAACGTGCAAAACTTTATATATGGTGAGATATATAAATTAACAAACATATGAATTAAATTATAAGATATAGATTGATTCATCCATAAGTTGGTAATCGAGTTGGCTCTCTAGCCACATGTTAAGACATATCATGAGCTCTAAACGAGCCAGCTCACGAGTTTAGCTCAACAAGCCACCGAGTCGAACTAGCTTGCGAGCTTCACGAGCCGAACAAAGGTGAGCTCGTGTTCAGCTCGTTTATTAACGAGCCGAGTTTCGAACGAGTTTTTCTCGAGTCGAACGCCGAGCCGCTCGGGAGCAGCTCGGCTCATTTGCAGCCCTAATCACAGCGACGAATTCTTCATTTCTACACTGGACGGGCAGGAAAGAATAAATCCATCCATTACCATTCGCCGCGATAGTCAGCTAATAACCATTCATAACAAATGTGTCACTTACTCGTTACAAGCAGTTTCGGGGTTCATTGAGAAAAGCGTGTGGGCTTGCGGCTGATGCACCAACAATCCACGACGGCGGCGAAGCGCAAGATGAAGTGTCGGGGTCGGATGGAGCTGGAAAATAACTAATTAAACAAGTCGGTCGTGGTCGTCGTGGACTGCGACTTGTGACTGCTCTGCACGATCGATGGCGTTGAAGAATCGGGAAGAGGGATTGGATGAACCAGATGGTGATAAATTCGATCGGTACAGTATTCAAATGTAATAATATTGAGATTTTGTCCTTGCAAATCATACAAAATTGAACATGCTACGATGACACTCAACGAATTGAAGATATAAATGTGCAACGATGGCATATTTCCTGTTGATTTTAGCTAAACTAATTTGGGCATTGATGTTCCTCCGGTCCATGTTAATTAGTATGACAAAGACACGTACAATCATCCATCCACATGGCCTCCAAACATGCAATGGGGCATGAGAGGTAAGGTAATGCATAAGTGTGTGTGTAGTGTACGGATGTAACCTGTCCACCGTGTTGATAAAACCAACTTATGGTTATTTGAATGCCTTTGACAAACAAAATTTTTGGTGAAGAAAGAGTCTTTGTTTTTGGTGGGAGGGACTGCACTGAACAAAGGACCAAAAAGAGCCAGAAAGAAAAGAAGAGAATGAAATATACACCACACACGCACACATGGAGTCTGGAGAAAACGCTTTTGAGTTGGCAAACAGGGAAATGGCATCTGAGGAGGGAGGGCCCAACATTACATTAGGGGGTGGCCCAATTGGTTTGAAAGCGTTTGCTGGGTTTGGGCCCAGTTGCACTTACGAAAGAAAAAGAGAGAACAAATCTTTGAATAATGTTGGAGATTATTTAATCAACATTTTTTTTTCTTTTTTCTAACCAGCTATAACCAATGTTAGATCCCTATCCACTCAGCTTTGACAATTATTCAACCATTCAAGGAGGAGGTTGACCATGAGTGCCTTGATAAAATCACCATCAATCAAAATTTTGTATTTGATCGATTTTGAATGCATTACATAGCTAGGTTGATATTATGGAAAATAGGCAATGGTGTTTTTCTTTTTTTTGTCTTTGTTAGGTAAAGTTGAAATTTTATCATAAACATCGGCTTATTATGAGAGCAATAACTGAAACTTCGATTTTAAATAACTAACTCAACTAAAATTTGAAATAACGAATAATAAGTGCTATGTCGACTGCCATTTTCATCCAAAATTTGATAAGAATTATCTTCTCAAACGCACTTAAATTAACAATATCACTAATTAAAACATAAACCACATTAGCCTTCGTGAGTGATTACTTATTTCAACTCGGGCAAGTTCACTCAATTAAGTTCCAATGTGCTCTAATCCTTTACTCTCCATACTATATATATATATATATATATGGTGGCGTATTCGGTGCACCCACTTTTTCGGGTGCACTCAGTGCACCCGCCTCATAATTGTCTTTCTGACCATGCGATTCATGTCAAAACGATATCAATTGTTGCTTATGATATTATGAACAAGAAGCACATGAATTAGAAAAAAATTCATTCAAAATTTACTTTAATTCGAAGGATTTAAGATTTAGGGATTTAGGGTTAGGGTTTAGGTTTACAATTTGGGATTTTGGATTGGGATTCAAAATTAAAGGTTAAGGGGTTAGGGTAATTGATTGATTTGTTATGATTCTATGTCATATCATCACATTAGATTGAGAGTACTAATTAAAGTTCAAAATTTGATGTATTATGGACGCTTTTAGAGTTGGGTGCACTGAGTGCACCCAAAAAAGTGAGTGCACCGAAGTAGCCACCACATATATATATATAGTGACTACTTTAGTGCACTCACTTTTTTGGTACACTTAGTGCACCTATCTTTAAAAGTGTCTATAATACATCAAATTTTGAACTTTAATGAGTACTCTCAATCTAATATGATGATATGTCATAGAATCATAACAAATCAATCTATTATTCTAACCCTTTAACCTTCAATTTTGAATAACAAAGCAAAATCCCAAACTGTAAACCTAAACCCCTAAATCCTAAATCCTACAAATTAAAGTAAATTTTAAATGATTTTTTTTCAAATTCACGTGCTTCTTGTTCATAATATCATAAGCAACAATTGATATCGCTTTGACATGAATCGCATGCTCAGAATGATGATTATGAGGTGGGTGCACTCAGTGGGTGCGCCGAATACGCCACCATATATATAGCAAATCAAAAATACCATACATATGGCTTTTTCATCAATGATATATAATGATTCGATACTGCGACGTACAAGATAAATGACGATTTTATTTGTTATTTCACACTTCAGTGATGTCCCCAATACCACCTCAAAGTTCGGTGATCGATTCATTACTGGCCCTGAAAGATTTTGGCGAGGAGAGAGAGAGAGAGAGAAGGGGGAACAAGTTTTTGGAAGTTAGCAAGATCCTCATGTGGGAGACTGACTGACTGAGTTATTAGATGGATTGGTTTGGTTTTTGGTGGCCGTTCACTTCTCCCTTTCCTTTCCCCACATCCATTCAATGTTGAATCAAATGCCACGCCGCCGTCCCACTACTCCGCCGGCAGGCCAAGCCGAGATAGGCAAACGCAAAACAAGACAAAGGCGCACATGCATGCCAAAAACACCCCGCCCAGCTTTTTTTGGGCCTATATAATTTATATGCCCCTTGTCCCCTTCCTCGCCCAACCTTAAAACCCGGCCCCATCCACATGTGCCTGCCTCACATTCTCCTGCCCATCGGACCCCCGGCCCACACCCTCTCCCTAAGAGTCGTCCGATCGATAGGGGACACTGCGACAATCCTGATCTGTCTGACGGGGTGTGGTAACAATGTTCTTCATCAATGACAGTCGAGATAGTTGACAACCATATCGAACGATCTCCACCCACGCACATAGTGTGCCTACATGCAAGTCACGGACGAGAACGATGGTTGCTGCCCTCGAGTCGTTGGCAACTAGGCTCGAAGACGCAAATATGACGATAAATCTCATTTGAGTTCGTATGGCTTTTCGTGCATGGGGTTCACACTGATTACCGATTTCAAGAAAATTGAGCTATAGCGACCAAATATTAAGCCGGATGTGATAATAATCAGAAATAAGAAAGATAAAGCGTAAGTTGCATGTCCCATGTATGGGCGTACGCAAGGGAGAAGCGATGCAACATTTTTTCTTAACTTGCTTCTGGTTAAGGTGAGTAAAACCGAGGGACGAATTTCCCGTGGGCTTAGCAGTGCCAGGGCCCATTGTGCTTACTGCGAGGCCCAATGGATTTGTTTAATGTTGGAAGCCCAATTAACTCTTTCACCTTGGACATTCCCCCACCATTTCTTTCCTCTCAGGCAAGGTTGTCAAACCGGTTTATGCCAGTGTGCCGGTTTAGCAAGTGGAATGGTTCAACCGGTGGCACATACCGGTTTGTGCCGGTTCATGCCGGTCAATATTACAAATAAAATTATAAATACTCAGATTTAAACATGACATTTAACGTCAATACCTAAACATTTATACATGAATCCAACAAATAACATCAATATTTAACTTTTATACTCATAAAATAATTTTTATTAATTAAATTCTCTAAAATAAGGTCATTTTACTTTAGAGATTCGTATATCGATCATGCCGGTTATACCGGTGGTGTCACGCCGGTTTTATGACCGGTACCGGTTGAACCCGGTACAACCGGTGGCACGCCGGCCGGCATGACAACCATGTCTCAGGTCTCACCATATTTTTCCTGTTTTTAGCGTACGTTTTCTCCCGACAGAAAGGGGACAAACGATGGCAATGTCGTCGAACGATTTTGAGCTCTCCATTCTGGTCGTACGTTGCTAGATTTTGTCGTCCACCCTCAGACTCTCTACAAACCTTACTTCCCCGATCTCAAATCCAAAGAGTTTCACCTCAATCTCTCCGCCCCGCCCCCTCCTCCTAAACCACGGGTAACGTTTTCTCCCTTCCTTGCTTCGATTCTTCATTTCTGCAGAAACTTTCGATCTGGGTTTCTTCATTAATGCAGAAGCTTGAATCTTTTTTGGTTGTTGGTTGCAATGCAGCTTTATCTTCCTGCCTTCTTAATTTTTCGTGTTCTTGTTTTACCCTCTTTGGGTTGGGGATTCATACAGGGAGGAAGAGGAGATAATGGGCTCGCCGATTTGAATCAGAAAATCCAGAAACCCCTCCCATTTTCTGCGTTTCTCTTTAGATGGTAAATTTCGGGTTGAGTAAAGTTCGGATCTTTACTGGGTTTCGCTGGGTCTATTGAATTTGTAAGCTTGAAAAGGGAATTGGTTAGCAGTTAGGTTGAATCTTTTCCCCCAATCTTGTTACATTCACCAAAATGAAGCAGTTTTGGGACTACCTAGGGTTGGTAGAATGAACAAGGGAGATCCGGATAGTGTAGGCATGCTGAGGAGCAACAGCATGCTTGATTTGGAAAGTGGCGGAGGGATTTTTACCGACGATGATGAATTCAGGGGCTACGGCGGCAACAAGAGGCATGCGAAGAAGAAGCTTAATAGGTTGAGGAGTGGTTCATTGGGGAACCGGTTAGGGCTTATAAGTTCGAGCCGTTTAGGGCTTAGTTCGATTGGGAGTGATGGTGCGGATGAGAACAACGACAAGGAGAAGAGCAGGCTTGGAATGGGATTGGGAAAGGGATCCAAGCGGCCTCCTAAACCGCCTCGACCACCAAGGGGACCAGCACTGGATGCTGCGGATATGAAGTACATTAGGGAGATATCGGAGCTTTCAAAGGTCAAACATGCAAGGATTGAGCGTATGAGGTCGCTCAGGAGCAAGAGGGTGGATAACAGAAATTCTCAGTCCTCTTCGTCGTCGTCGTTGGGTGCTAACATTCTTGCTATGGTGGTCACCGTTGTCTTCTTCGTCATCATTGTCTTGCAAGGTAAGGGAGAATGTGATGAGATCTCTGTTTGTTAGTTGTAAGCTCCATTTTGTTCACAGGTTGTGATTGATTTATGCACTTGGTTTCCTAGTGCACATTCATAAGAATCCTTGTTTGATTAGGATTTGGATGCAAACTAAGTTGAATATCCCCTAATAGGTCCTTGTCTTCTTCTCTCTTATACAGTTGTACCTGGGGTTTGAGGGAGCTGTGTGGCCATGAGTGACATTATCTTTGTTCAGGCTAGGTAGTCAGACTCAGCTGGCCAGGAGTGTGAGTAAAAGAGTGAATGCTACTTTTTGTTATCGTTTGTGTCCATGATTAAATTTCATCAGTGAAGCTATTCTTTTTTTAGTTTGATTGTCATGCACTAGCCTTTCCAGACATTTGCCAGAGCCCTTGGATTAGGATTTTGCTGCAACGATGTAGCCCATGGGATCTTTTTTTCTCTAAGAACAAGATCCTCCTCTTGTTAACTTTTGTTGAGATGCCATTCCTTCCATGGGATAACTAACTGTTGCTGATTGCTTATACACTTTATCGTTTGAGATTACGTTACCAAATGCTTCAAAGCTTCGAACTGATGATGTTAAGAGTTTCTGTTGCAGGCCTACACTCCAGATAACTACTTCAGTTCCAGGCCTGTCCAAGCACATAAAGATTATTGAAACTGGCTTAACTGGATTTTGCATGGATGCATGTCGCTCAATCTTCCTCAGCAGCCTCACCAGTGTATATGGAGTGAACTTTCAGAGTTTACAGCTGCGGCATATCGGAGTAGAAAAGGCCCGGTCTGGGACTGCCTTGCCCTATCGAAGGCAAGAGACAACTTAAGGAGAGAAAGAGAGTGCCTCCAAGAAAACTAATGTTCCCATTTGTATATTGCAATTTACCAGCCGACTGGGGAATGTTTTTAACAGTTTGACACTTCATCCAATAAATTGATTCTCAGAGCTAGGAATAGCAATGGGGAGATACGGGGCGGGCATCTCGATATCCATATTCGCTTCGTGGTAGGTCAAGTTTAGTCGGGTAATTTATTATGGGGCAAGGGTCGGAGCAGGTCGACCCAATGAGTATGTAATTTATGTGGAAAACGTTGAAAATATTCGTTATTTTCAGACAAAAGAAACAAATCATAATATGGTAAATTTGGTTAACTTATTGGAGAAATTGAGATTTTCACTAATATATAATTTTATTATAGCTAAATTATGATGTGATAAAAGAAAAATCTTAAGTAATTTGACTAAGATTACATGTAATTTAATCAAGAATGGGGCAAGTCAGGACATGTCGGGATAATAAGAGTACTCATATCCGCCTCGTCCAGCCTACGGGACGAGTCAAATCCACCTCAAAACAGGTCAAACAGGTCGAATAAAGCGGATCAAGTCGAAATTGTTATCCCTACTCGGGGCTGTACTTTGTGATCCCGTTTCCATGCCGAAAGTTCACTTGCCTGACAATCTGTTAACAGATGATCAATCACTTACCAAGGAATCAGCACTAGAAGACTTCATTTGTACCAGCACTAGAAGACTCCATTTGTACGGGACAGCACAGCTCCATGCATTTATTGAAACATCCACATAACAAGTTATAAAACAGAGGAAAATGCAGCTCCTGAAGAAAGAATATCATATGAACTACGGAATGTTATTGTCAACTAATCTTTCTCTCGTGTGCAATAACACTGTTTTGTCACACTCCGCTTCTGCACGCTTAGCTAAATTGCCAAGTAATAACAATAACGGAGACATTTGGCAGGTTAAATAGATCATTAGACCAAGACCTCTCTTCAGTCGCCAACAAAGGAACAAACAAATGTTGCCAACCCTTGAGCTATCGAGGCTTCAAAGCTTCATTTCGCTTTCATAGGTTCTGCTCTGGGTCGCCACAGACCAAGCCTATACTTTTGGGCGTAGTTCAGTATCAGTTTCCTCTGCAAAAGAAACATTAGAACCAATAAATAGATCATCTGGGAATAGAGACGCCCGAATACTTTAGATAGGACCCGTAAAGTTGTCTGCAAAAGCAGCAGCACAACCAATCAACAGCTCATCTGGGAAAAGAGAACCCCCCAAATACTCTAGATAGGACCCTAAATTCGAAACAAAGAGTCATAGGCGAAGTCCTTGAATTCAAGGTCACTCGACACTGCGTACATAATAACACCCTCAAAACGTAAACCCAGCCAATAGCTCAAACAGCTCTAATCTGATTTCGTTTAGCAAAATTGATAAAAACTAGCAAAGACAAGGGTGAGAGTTCAACAAAGTGAGTGTGCACTATTGCTTACTTGTTGACAAGGGATTCCAAGCTTCTTAAGCTTCAATGTCCTAGTAACGAGAAGTTTCTGAAAGTCTCCAATCTCATTTTCAAGCTTGGCCGCATGGTTCTCAACGCCTTTCCCTATTGCATTCAAGAACTCCGGAATCCCCACTTTCACTGCAACATAAATTAACAACAACAAACCATCAATTTCCCCTTTTTGAAACCTAAAACTTGAAAGTAGGCAAAGTTCTCAGCATTATCACGAAGCAAGTCATCAACACAAACGCCATATAAGTTTTTCCATACCAATTACCAATGATCGACAGATCACCCAGCAATTAGGAAAACCCAGAAACAATCTACGCCTTCCATTCCAGAAAGCAAGAGAAAATTCAGCTGGGAGATTCGATTGGGAATGCGGGGAAAGAGGGGAAGAAGCAAAAAGATCAATTAGATATTGGCTTTACCAAGATAAGGGGAGGACTGGGAGTAGAATCGGGAGAACCCAGGTGCCGGATTCGCTTGTAGAGTTCTCGTCTGCAATATTGCTCGCAAAAGAGCCATTTTTCGAACTCTCTTCCGCAATTCCTCCTTCTGTGAACAAACGAAAAGCAATGGCTGAATCCGGGAGAACTGGGGGTTATGGTATTGGAAAGGGTTTTTGACTAATGGGCTGGTCCCAAGTTCTGATTGGTCTTAAGCTTTTTTCTGGGCTTGGGTCAGATTAGAATATCCGGGCCTGGTGATAATTTTGTCAAAACACACCTCTGATTTGTCATATTTGATCACTGGAATTACTAAAACGTGTTATGTTTAGTCACTAGAAAAAATTAATATCAATTTTGGTCACTCGAATTATTAAAACATGTCACATTTAGTCAATTTCCACTCTCCAGTTAGCCTCCGTCCAACTCCGGTCACTCGAATTAATGTCACTCGAATTACTCAAACACGTCACATTTAGTGGGACTGGTTACGATGCTAATTGTACAAGAGTTAGCACCGTCCTAACCAAGGGATAGTAGTGATTTAGCTTAGATGTTGTATTGATTTTATAATAACCCGTAGTGATTTCGTTGTTTTTAGTAGCATTTTTTGCTAGTTATCCTAATCCCATCCCCACATTTAGTCACTCTCCGTTAGTTTTCGTCCAACTACATTAACGGAGTTGGATTGGATTGGGTGAGTGGTGGATGAGTGCGGTTGGATTATGAGTTAACTAAGGGGTCGTTTGGAAGTTGCGATAGTTTTGTTGAGATTGTCATTATGCATGTATTGTTTACAATGCATCATTTTTTTGTTTTTTTAGCAGAAACAATACATGGATTGTTTCTGTGATGTGGCAGAAACTATCACTCATTTTGAGTGATTGTTATATCTCAACTTTTAGTTGTGATTGTTGAGATAGTTGAGTTGAGATTGTTTTGTCTCAGCTTTTAGCTGATGCGACATACACAATCACACATACCAAACGTTGTATTCTACAATGCATCAAATTCGACAATACATGTATAATATTATACATGCATTCTCAACAATACATCTATTTAACAATCGCAACTTCCAAACGACCCCTAATTCTCCAACTAGCAATGAGACAAGTTTACTAACATTTGTAATAAATTAATCACAAATTCGTAAGACTGCATCAGAAGGGACGAACGGTTGACTCTTGTGTTGTTATGCAAAGTATGGTTATATAATATATTACATATATGACTAATTGCTTATTTGGTGAATTGGTTTGATTGATTAGGAGTGTATGGAAATCAGATCAAACCATCTAAACCAAACAGGCTAAAAAATTCAATCAATTATCCAAATTATCCGAATACTACCGATTAAAATGGTTACCACGATAACCATCCCGTTTGAAACCCTCTAACGATTCCCGTCTTTGTTGAGATAGTGATACCTTCGATAGCTTGTCCCGCAACAGTGCCTTGACCAACCCCGAGTCCAATAGAAGATCAATTTTCTCAACAATGCGAAGTTTAACATAGGGATGTGGTGTAAAAATACATCAATCGCTCTTGATTCGAGATTAATACTAAAAAAAATACAGTGCATTAGAACTTTCGAATAGGTAAATAAACAAGATGTATATAGTAAATAGTGCATACAAACTACATAGTTAGCTTCAAAACAAAAGACAAGAAGCAACATAGAAAGATTTCAGCTTGTCACAAACCCTTCATTATTTGCCAAGAACAAGTACTTATCCTTCCTGGTCATGATAGTGCACTCAAAGTTCAAAGCTTTACCAATCTCTGACTGCACATAGTTGGCAACCTCAACCCTAGACTGGCCTCCAGTTTCACATACCATACATTGAGGCACCTTCTCAAGAATCTTAAGTTCACACCAAACATAGGGATTCATCAACTGAAACACAGGGTCCAACCCTTTCCACCCACCAGCCGTCGTTCCATAGAACATGGTGCACTTCATATCGATCGCCACAGGAACAATGTCCTTCGCCACCTCAGCAAACATAGGACTAAACCTCAGTAGATAAGGCTCCCTGCAAGTTGTGCCTTCAGGACATATTGCAAGGTCAGTTTTTGTCAGAAGTTCTTGTATCAGCTTCATGTCTTTGTCTTTATTCCTCGTGATACGGATGGTCTTAATTGGCGCGATCCACTCAGAGAACTTGCTCAAGCTGTATGTAACTGCTGTCAAGGGCTTGTTTGTGCACATTGAGATGTAACACGGGTCGAATAAGGTTTTGTGGTTGCAGACATAAAGGGTTCCTTTTGACTTGTCAGGGTGGAAAGATTGTGGCTTGGAGAAGAAGCCACCCATGCCTGTGACATGGAGGAGTGGGATTGAGATTTGGTAAGGGAGAAAGGTTCCTATTAGGGTTCTGATGATGAAAAGGAGGAAGCCAAATGGAAGCCAGATGAACATTGTCAAGGATGCTAATGGAGTTGGCCTAAATGCTAATCTTCCATCATGGAAGATTAGTGGTTTTGGGTACTTGGATCTTGGAAGTGTTTGCCAAGTTCTCTTCTCTGCCTCTGTGATTAAGTGAAGTGCCTGATATCCAAGAAAAGCAAACATCATCAGCCCACTGGGAATGCTCAGAAATACAGTAGTCAAAATCTATATTTTACATAAGCACTATAAAATAAGTATAGTAAAACTGTATTTAAGGCAAAAAATCTATATTTTACATAAGCACTATAAAATAAGTATAGTAAAACTGTATTTAAAGCAACTCTATGCAAGGATAAAGGCATGCAATAAGTTCACGGGGACTCGAACCCAACGCTTGAATCCAAACATAGTAAAATTTTATCATATAAATAGGGACTTGAATGAGAAGAAATGAATAGGGAAATCAATCACCTAACCTTGAAGGGAGATTGGAAGTTTTGGCCAAGGGAATTGTTGAAGCAATCAAAGCCAATGATCTCACTGTTTAAACTCGGCTCATATGGCCTCCTTTCTTCCATCAGACCAGAAAAGTAGCCATGAAACACCACCATCTCTCTTCCAACAACAGCTTCAATCCCCAAGTAATGCTTCATGAGGCCTTCCACCATGATTCTGGGCAAATTAGTAAACCCAACTTTCCTCTCATGCCTCATCACCATCTCAAACCCTTGGAGACCAACATCCTCTAGGAAGAACTTGGGCAACACGCTTCTTCCAACTCTAAAGCTCCCTGCTTTAAGCCCCACAAAGCTCACAAAGACCATGATTTTGAGCCCCATCTCTCCCCCTACTGAACAGATTAAAGGGTACAAAAGGAGAAGGATGAGTGCCCTCAATGGACTCCCAGCTTCGAAAGCTACCAACATGAAGTAAGGGAAGATCGAAGGTGACTTTAGCAGAGTTCCTTCCATGTTGAACATCAGAACTGAATCTTGGTTTCTTAAGGAGGAAGGCTGTTTTGAGAAATCTGAGTACTGAAAGGGGCTTACTTTTCTAAAGAGATTGAGTCTGCAGCAGCATATATTGGTGATGATGGTTTTGATGGGTAGAAAGAGTAAGGATTCAAAATTTGATAGCTTTTTAGCCATTTGGTTTGTTGTGTGGCTGATTACTTCCAACTCTGCCAGTGGGATTTGTTTTTATACAAGGCAAGAAACAGAAACAGAAACAGAAAAAACATGAAGAATGGAAACAGCTCTGCAAGTGAAATGACAAACACCAAACTTGTCTTGTCAAAAGTGTTTAGGTTAAGCAAGGAAGCATCCTACTGCTTGCCCTTCAATAGTCTGGAAAAACCCCATTTCTGATATTCCAGAATATTCAACTTCTGGAAAAGTCCCATTTGCGTTTACATCCATGACAAGTGGGGATTGGGACATTTGTCTTAGGTAGTGAAAATGAAAAGAACGATGAAGGATTCATATGTTGCAGTGTGAGTTTGGTGGTGGGGTTGGAGGAGAAGAAGAGAAATCTAGACATGCTGGTTCTTTCATGCCACATGTTACAGACCGGCTTCTATCAAAGTATTTAATGAACAGAAAGACCATTGCTCAATCCCTGTCCTTTCATTATTACTGTTGAGCCCTTCCTGATTTGAACATTCATCAACGAAGTAACTGTTCTACATTTGTGTTCACATCAGGAGATTTCTAGAGAGAAAGAAAGTGGTCCAGACTCCAGAGTTAGCTCTGTTATATGATAAGTTTAAGCTCTTGACTTGCTGAAAGATCAGCCAATCAAGTAGAGATTAAAAATGTAAAGAAGAATGGTTTTCCACGTGACAGTGAAGGAGATTAATTGTTTCCTTCTCTTAATCAACTGCTGGCTCATTTTTTCTGAGTTATGGAAAATGATCGACCAAGTTAATGTTGTGGCAGAAGATTGGCAAAGTATAGTTAGCGTATGCACGTATCTTCCTTGGTCATCATTAATCACTCTCTTGGAATTAAATGGTCAGTAGGCAACAGGTCCGTAACAAAAGGCTAACCAATCAAAGTGATTTGTTACAAAACAGTCTAACATTAGCTCAGTTGAATTAACACATCGAAAAAGATTAGCAAAGTCGCCCGAACAGGATCCCATGAACCCGTTCAACCTAACCCTTTCAGACACACCACAACTCCTCGAAGCAAACCCCCAACAAATGGGAAAAACACACTAGCTCGCGATTCAACTAGTTCTTGAACTGGAAAGGGTTGAGTCTGCTTGCTGTACTGGGTACTAATTGAATGATTTGGTAACATGTTGAACCTAATTTGCATGATCAATTGAGGTTACAAAGTAACTATTTTTTTTTTTTTAAATCACACAACTTGGTTAGCATTTTGTTATAATTTTTTGTTAACTGACTGGCTTGTCGCAAACTTCATGATTTAATAGCCATTTAAGTTAGGCATCAAACCCATCTAATTGGTCCCCTATTTGAACAAGCACAATCAACTAACTAGCCAAATTAAATTGATACCATTTGGTAGGTTATCATTAATAAGCCCTTGATTTAATCATCCCAACAAATGAAAATTCTTCTGTCTCATAGCAATAGAAAATGGAGATCAGTCAACCATAATTTTTCCTACACAGTAGGCTTTTCCTCTTTCAAATGGTTGCACGTTGGTTAAAACAGTCTCTGGTGGTATAATTTGGCAATCTGAAGGTGACCATATTCCTTAAAATGGGAAAGAGTTTAATTCAATGTACATCAGGATTCTTGTTGTGTGTATGCCAGTTTTGATTCGATGCTTAACCGCTGGTTCCACATGGAAGCTTAGCGAGTTTTGAACAATATAGTAGGCAATCTGTCTAAAGCACAAGCTCGATACATCCAATCCAAACCAGAACAATGAGTTATTCTCAGAAGTTAGGAAAAATGCAGCAGAACATACCAGGGAGTAACAAATGATTGATTGTTTCCCCTTCCAAAGCGTTCTTCCATTCTCGGCTCAAGCTGTTATCCCTATGCTAGCGAATTCAGGTTACAAAGTCTGAGGGCAGCCTTGGCTTCATGTTCGAATGCTTTGCAAAGAATCTTGGAGCTCTTCTCGGCACCCATCTGCAGAACAATGCACAAGTCGGGTGAAAACCTTTGAACATTCATGAACATGGTAAGTTTCACCAAGGGATCAACTCGTGATGTGTGAAATGCTTGATATAGTGTATCTGAAAGTAAGAACCTCCCAGACATCAACTAACCAAGAAACACCATGTTCTACAATGCACAATAACCAAGTTGGAATCGCAATCGAAAGTTTACCTCCATTTGGTTGCGTAGAAGTTTATAGCAGCAACGTTGGCTTTCTGAACAGTTACCCACTACAGTCATGTGCAACTCTACAGAAGAACACAAAGAAAACCATTTCCAAGGTTAAATTTCACACACATCCAGCACAACAAAGCAATACAACCGCAAATTCCAACAAGATCGAAACTTTCAGGGGGGGCCACAAGCACCCTAAGAGCAATGAGCTCGAAGGCCATTGTTTCCCAACTGGACCCGTCCATTTCGCCTTCCCAAATTCAGAATAACAAATAGGTCATTTAGCATATAGAAATTAAACCCTTGAAGCCAATCATTTCAGCTGATTCGAATGAAGTGGAAAGAGTTTTACTTTGAGGAGGGTCTGGACGCTCGCTTTACAGAAGCGGGAAGTTTATCCCCATTTTTCCAGTCGAACCACACAAATTCCTGCGGGAGGAGTGAATTAGGCGCGAGCGAACAAATACCATTTCTACCGCAAAGGCCGAAGGGAGGGAAAGAACAAAATTTAGCGGGTAAATATCGTGATATCAATTAATACCGCGATATATAGCCACCTCGTACTTGTTGAATAGTTATCGCGTTTTGCTTTTTGATTTGAGTGCCCGAAAGTTTTTTGATATTTCGTTTCGCTTTTCTCCGTTGTTTTTCGCGGTTCCTCTGAAGCCCTATGAAAAAGCGCTGCTCTCTTTTTTCTCGCAGCTCTGTTCCATCTCTGAAACGGCGATGGTGGTTCAGTCACCAACATAACCCTTCTTCCACTTCCTATCTCAGGAAACCTTGAATTCCATCTTCAACCTCCCTCAGTTCTCGCAGCTACAGAAAAAGGTTTTGAATTTCCTTGTACAGCCAGCGGTAAAGATCTATTCCCCTGTTTTTGTTGCTGCTTGCTTGCCTTTCAATAATCTGAAAAAGGAGCCCATTCATCTTTGTTGGGGGTTGCTTTTGTAGTTATCATCATTAGTCTAACTGATGAAAAAAATGACACTACTTTTTCTCACATGTGGTTTGCAAGACTGTTTGATTGTCAAAAGGTTCTCGCATTTATATCCAAAAGAAGTGGGATTCGTACATTTGTCTATGTTTCAGTGAAGGGTTGGGGTAGAGGAGTCTAGTTTCTATCAAGTATTTAATGGAGCAGATGGACCATTTCTCAATTCTTATCTCAATTTTTATCAGATTGTCATAACTGTCAATCGTCCCTTCTTGATTTGAACATTCATTAAGGAACTAGCAGTTACGTATTTGTGTTCATTCACATGCATAAAGATGATGATTTCTAGAGGTTGGGATGGATGGAGCCATGGACTTGTTGTAGCGACATGAGCCTATAAAGTAGAGCTTCAAAAGTATTAGCAAAATGGTTTTCCAGCTGATAATTGCCAGTAACTAGCTAGATGATTTTGCTATTACCGCATTAGTACTGATACGAATTTGTTCTCAATAATAACAATCAAAGTCTTTAATGAACCAAACATCGTTGAGTTTTCGAATCCTGATAACCCGTCAATATCAACAATTGAATTTATTCTCAATATCAAAGATCGAAATCTCTGATAACCTAAAAAGTATATGAACAAGAACAAGTATAGTCAACTAATATGCCAAACTAAATTTAATTCCATTTGGTGGGTTGTCACTAATAAGCGTATGATTTGGTTCAAACATCTCACCTAATGTGAATTCTTCCGTCTCATACCAGAAAATGGGCAATCAACCGAATCATGGTTTTTTCACAAACACAGTAGACTCTTAACCTCTTTAAGACGTTTGCAAGTTTGTTGAAACAGGTTTTTAGTGAGTATGAATTGGCAATCAAAAGTGAAGAATATTCCTTATAATGGAAAAGAGTTTGAGTAAGCTGAAGCATTATTTGAATTGACTAAGCATGAGAGTAGGACAATGTAACAGCAGGATTCTTGCCTATATCCCAGTTCTGATTCGATGTCTTAGCTGCTGGCTTCACATGGAAGCTTACCAACAATGAAATTGAATATTGATTGACAAAAGAAATGTTCATCTCATTTCCAGGTAGTAAAAAGATTGTTCCAGCTCGAGTGCACGACATTCGCGAAAGAATGAAGGATCTTCCTCGTTGCAGGCATACACTTTTGCTCTTTCAGAATAAATGAACGGTGTACATGCTGCTGCTCAAAATTGTTCTTTTCTATGCTAACCATATATGATGTAGCTTGCTCAGTAAAGGGTTCTCACCAGATTCAGGCTCCACCAATTCATTGTTCTACAACGACTACATATTGACATGGGCAACGAAGAGATGATCGAGGTCTGGTTTTAATTCGTTCGAGTGCAACCTCTCAACGGGGACCTTTGACTTGTGCCTGAAGGCTTGAGGCATCCTCCTCCCAGCTCAGGCAGTCTCCTAAAACGAGGTAAGAACCACCAAATGGGTAACCTGAGATTTGAGGGCAAACAAGTGGATAAAAATTAAAAAAGCATTAAACAAGCTGTTACCTCCAGTGCAACCTTGGCTTCACGATCAAATGCTTTGCAGAGAATCTCGTAACTCTTTTCAGCTCCCATCTGCAGAGAAATGCACAAGTGAAGATAAAACCTTTGAGCATCTATGAGTCACAGATTAGGGAACAACGTTAAGTTCGTACCAGGGGATCAACTCGTGATGGTGAAATGCTTGATATTGTGTATCTGCAAGTAAAAACCTGGAATCATTTAACTGATCAACAAAACACAAGAACGTTCACCTCAACTTCTGATTCGGCAATAGATGAGGAATTTCAAATGAAACTTTCACCTCAACTTGCTCGTGTAGAAATTCATTGCTGCAACATTGGCTTTCTGAACTGTTAACACTACAGCACTCATACAGCTCTACAGAAGAACAGACAGAAAATAATTTCAATATCAAGTTCCCATATATACTGCATAAGAAAAGCAAAACCAGAACTTAGAGAGCAACAATTAACACCTTACGAGCAATAAGCTCAACGAGTTGCATCAAGAACTTCCCCAAGCCTTTGCCTTGAACACGAGACTCGAGCTGAATCTCATAAACATAGAGAACAGGTATCTCTTCCTCCAGAGTAAACCTGAAATGAACAAAGCCTACAAAGGCAGCAGTTTTATCATTATCAGCCTCAGGGGATTCTTCCTTAACGAAGATATAACGTGCTTCTGGAGACACCATTTCTCTGCGCTTGACTTTCTCTTCCTCTGGCCATTCTTCCCCAAATGGACCCTCCATGTTCACCTTCCCAAATTCAAACGAAAAGGAATCATTTTTATCACAATGAAAGAAAAACCCAGAAAGCCAATCATTCGTAGGAATGGGAACGAGTTCTACTTTGAGGAGATTCTGAATGTATTGCTTTAGAGCAGCAGAGAGTTTATCGCCATTTCCAGACTCCAAAACAACACACAATCCTGCATAAAAAAAAAAGTCTTTCAATAATGAATGGGCGGCGATTACAAAGAGGAATTGGGCGAGAACCATTACCATTTCTGTCGAAACGGCGGAAGGGAGGGAAAGAAGAGAGATGGTCGTGCTCGGAAGAAGCTGCTTGTATCAATTTATCGATTTTCTTCTTCCTTTCCAGAACCTACGAAGTAAAAAGAAGGAATCCTGTGAAGAAATAACAGGGCGGCTGCCGAAAATGAAGAATGGAAAAGGCGGAATCGTCAAATTGCTGCTAGTTCATAAGATTTGGGGGTTATACCTCTTGTCGTTTTGCTTTCTTCTCCTTGCGAGAGCTCTTGGGTTGAACCTCCATTGCTGCTGCTGCCTTCGCAAGCTCTAGCTTCACTGAACTCCGCCGACAGCCGGCCGCAGCACTCCACGTTCTGTTTTCTTCCGCTTCAATCAATTTTGGGCCTCTGAAGAGACCAGGGTTCATAAGCAAGAGTGCCTAGAGAAAGGGCTCTGTGGCTTGGGAAAGCCCAATAATATATTCTGATCAAATTCTCGAAGATCTATCAATGTCTAATCTCAACAATGAACAATCTCCCACTTATCATTGACAAGTTGACTTATATTTATCTTGCATTCCTCGCCATTTGAAAGATACTAACAATTTGAATATTGTTCATTATATCACTTGTAAATCAATCTAGTACTTGTGACATATAAAAATTTTTATTACTCCAATCATATTTTCATTTGGACACATTAAATGAAGTATTCGTTGACAAATAAAACAAAGTCACTAACCACATATTCCTAAAAATCAAGGTTGTTTATTGGTGTAGATTTCACTTCTTTGACACAGATATCAAATCTTTCAATGCTCCATCAACTAAGTGTTTAGAGAAAAGACACTCTTTATTAATTCGATACAACAAACAATTTTTAATTTATCTCAATATTTAAGGGACATTACAAAACATAGTAACCAATAGCTACTAAGCTAGATGATCAATGTATGGCGGAGTTATAAAATATTATGATTATTTGATAGTATAAACAACTACTTGTCATGTGAAAATGGGCTGTGTGTCATTTAGTTGATCAGTAACCCAGGCACCACGCACAAGGGTAAGTGCGGATTGGAAATTTTAAATCCACGACCCACCTACATCAATCACCAACTATTGTCGGCATGCGGCTTGGATTATTTGTGGGTGGATCAATATCAAAGTGCGGATTCATGATAACACCAAAATTTGTGTTATTTACCCTCCATCTTATGCTATGTTTTGTGTCAATTCATGTGCTTAAGCGTTTACACATTGTCAAATACATCCCTATTTTGTTCCTATTTGATTTTGATGTGATTATAGGGTGTATTAGTCAATATGTCCAAATTAGGTACAAAACAAGGTCACAACAAGTGTAGAAAAGGGACAAGGATGAAAGATCGTGGCCTAGAAGCCAAAGATCACGGTCGATATTTCTAGTCGTGAAAACTCACTGAAGATCGCGGCCCGGAAGTCAAAGATCACGACCGCGATCATGAAGGCCCAGGGCGCGAACTTCGCGAAGAATGAGCCTTGGAGAAGCAGAGAGTTTCCCCAGTCGCGTAACGGCCAACGTTCAACTTGCCCGTGAGGAAGATTACGGTCACGATTCGAGGATCGCGACCGTGAAGTCAGCCCGTGATCTTCCCCCTTTAGAAGGCCATGACAACGTCGTCTTGAGATCGCGGCCTATCATCAGAAGATCGCGACCGCAATCTCCCAGCCTCAGGCTGCGAACTTCCTCGAGTCCAGAATGCTTATAAAATATAAGACCCCTTTTCCCATTTTAAGAGAAAAGATTTTGAGTTAAACTTCTTGATCTAGAGAGAAGAGAGAGAAGCTGAAGGGAGAAGGAGAGAAGGAGAAGAAGGAGGAGCTAGGAGCAAGGAGGATCTTCCCCAACTTTAAGTCTTCTTCTATTTCTACCATGTATCTTCTCCTCTCTTTTATGGAGTAGTCCTCCAATGTACTAGGGGTTCTAAACCTCAAACCCTAGTTTTAGGATTTATTATGTATGTATGGATATTTTAGGATTTGAATGAATGAATGAATGAATGAATGTCTTTTTCTAGTAGATTCGTAATGTCAGTCTTTCCTAAATGATCACTCTTGGGCAACTGGCCCCAATCTTCCCTCTTAGCCTGCTTTATGCTACCGCACTGGGTACGGAGTTCTAGGGTCAGACTGGTATGCGTCATCTGGCGAGTTTAGGTTAGATGAGTGAATGGGGGCCTATAGTGGTCGAGGTGACCGAACCCCTGCTATAGGTAGCCTTCCTAGATGAACCCCGAGATGGAACCTCAGTGTGGATGGTGGATAGTGTCCATTGAAATGAACCATAAGCTTAATGCTCCAGATACGATAACCTAGATCGAGGTGACTGAAACATGGGTTTAGGGGAGGCGTATTCAGAGGCATGTGGATAACGACGAAGGCCCACGGAAAAGAGCTTACTCACCACATTCGATAACCCTAAGTATCTATATTATGCATAGTATCCCAGAGCTAGGGGGAGGATTAGTTCCCCGAAGTAACTGATTTTAGCTTTGATCAACCTCTAGTCTAGTGTTTCCTCATATCCTCCACTGAAAACCTCAAAAACCGATACCTAATTAACAACTAGGTGGGAAGTAGGTTAGGGTACCAGGACCCGAGTAGAATACGACCTTGATTACCACTATACGCCAGTGCCATCCTAGGTTAAACTTGGTTTAGGATTGGATAGTTGTTGATACGTGCAAACCATTGACATAACATGCACGTATTCAAGTGATCAAACTTTTTGGCGCCGTTGTCGGGGAACCTTGGTAATTAGTAAAAAACTATTAAGTTGTTTGTTAGTCTTTATCTTGTTTTGTGTGTTTTGTTTTATTTTGCTTTCTTGTTTGTGTTTTTTTTCTTCGTGCTTTGTTGTTCACCCACTCTTCTCCCCCGAAGGGTGGTTGTGTGTGTTTGATTTTCTTTTTAGCGTTTTTGTTGTATGTAGTTTGTGAGTAATGGATCCATATGGTTGGAACGAGGAGGGGGGAGACCACTAACCGCTGAATTGGTGATATCTCGAAGCTTCTGATAGCGAGGCTAGCCAAGGATCCCGGTTTCAAGAACAACCACCTATCCATGCCTATCAACCGTACCTCCATGATTACCAAGCATCTCACCCATCATACCAAGAACCACCTCCACAACCTATGGTGAAGACCGAGTTGGAGATGACCATTGAGTGACTTGAGGCATATACGCTATATCTAGATGGCCTTGAGACAACTCACTCAACTCCAACCCCGGAATCAAAGAGCTTCTTGGATCTCGAGTTAGAAAAACTCATGGCCGGGAGTGGGAGTTCACTTCATCATTCACCACCACCTACACCAAATATCCTTGGAGAGTAAGCATTTGAGCGCTACAACATCCCAACGTAGTGCCTAGATGCTAGCGATCCCAACCTTCCTCGGGGTTGTTTTCGAATTAAGGATGTCAAACTAGAGAAAATTTGACTCCAAGAGGTGGGGAACGTAGGGACATCTTGTATCAAGGAAAGTCCCGACCCTTCTACTCAAGACTTCCTCAAGGAACAAGAAGGGATGCTCAAGAGGATGAGAAGAACAAAAGAGTTATTGAGCAACTTTGCTCGAGACTAAATCAAGAGCACCTCTTCGACATCGAGAATGAAGCAAAAGAGGAAGTGTAGAAGAGGAAGAAGTCTTAAGGGTAGACAAGCAAAAAGGCCTTGAAGATCCATCTATTGAAGAACTTGCTAGTGAAAATCATTGCTCCTAGTCATCAAGAAGAGAGTATTAAAGAAGGGAGCATTGATGAGGTTGTGAGGGAGAGGAAAGGAGAAAGTGAAGAAGAGGAAGAACTTGGTACTCAACACATAGAAGATTATTCACAAGAAAGAGAGGAGGTTAAAGACGCAATTGGAGTCCGAACAATGGACAAGGTCGAAGTGGATGAAGCTTCTACAAGTTATATGGGCTACCAAAGCTTTCCACTCGACCTCAATGCACTTTTTGAAAAGGACCCATTTGCGGCTCTTTGCCAAGCCAAAGCCAAACCATCGGCGATCCCTCTTGGTGGATGCGATGGAAGTCAATCGATTTTGCACAATATGGTGTGGGGCAAAGAGGAGAGAGATGAAGAAAAAGAAGAAGAGGTCTTGTGGGTGGAGACAATTCTCACCAAGTCCAAGAGTCGTCCATATCATTTGAAGCATCCAACGCTCAGGACTTGAGACACCACCTCACCGACGAGAACCTCAACTTCAAGGAGGTTTTAAGTTGGACCGAATACTTGAAGTTAATTGTCCGACGATAAGACTTGAAAGACGCACTAGTTAGGAGGTACCCCAATAACCGGTTTGCATTTCCTTGCCTTTTGAAAATAAAACTTGCATGTTTGACTTCACTTTAAGTAGTTTTAACTAGTGAATGAATATCTTCTGTGTCAAGTATTATATGAATGATTGATAGAGACTAACTAGTTGCTTCAAAGCCAACCAATGACTCAATTCCAAACATACCAATTTACACCTATGCAAGCAGCCCTCCGCCCAAACTCTCATATATGTCTATGAGTTAGAAACCTGAATGTCACCCCTCTTTCACTCCTCTTTGCAGTTGACAGGGAGAATCTCTCCCGTTGGCCGGATTAATAACATTATATTAATAGTATAAGGATGATAATTTCGACCCAACCCAATTTACCTAAACTGTTTGGCCTGTTTAGGGGCGGGTTGGACCCGGCCCGTAGGCGGGGTGGGGCGAGCATGGGTACTTCTCATCGATCCGATCTGCCCTGATCCGTCCAATTCTCGACCCGTTCTTGTTTAAATTACATATAATCTTAGTGAAATTACTTAGAATTTCCCTCTTATTATGTTTTATTTTAATTATAATAAAGTTGTAAATAATTGAAAACCTCAATTTCTTCAATAATTTAACTACATTTTTATCATATTATGGTTTCTTTCTTTGTTTTTTAATGAAAATAATGCATATTTCTAATGTTTTTCGCATAAATTACATACTCATTGGGTCGACCTGCTCTGATCCGCGCCCTGTAATAAATTACTCGACCTACCATTAGGCAGGTATGGGTATCGAGATACCCGCCCCGGACCTGCCCTATTGTCATTCCTATTAGTATAAAGAGAATTAGAGTATTAGTAATTATCTAAATCAAGTTATTTTGTTATTTGCTATCATAAAAGAGTACAAACCATTTCGTTTATACCAATATAAAAAAGGAAGATACATCATATGTCTATAGGTAAATAAAAATTATTTGTCAAACCTTTCTAACTTTTCAAATTATTAGCCAAATCTTTAGAAAAATAAACTATTAGCCAAATATTTTGTAACACATCAATATACTAATCATTTATCTGTTATTGTTAATAATTTCATAATTATTTTCTTAATGAAAATACTAAAATTTTGGAATGTTGACTGTCATGTGTCTTTTCCAACTCAACATCATATTGCCAAATCATCCTTCCTAAAATCATTCAATGAAAATTTAGAATTAACCATGTTACTATAGAGAATTACTTTATATTATATTGTTGAGATTTAATCTTACAACTTTATTCAATTCTACTTTATTTTAGTTCGTATAAATTTGATTTTGACTCAAATTACTCAGTCTCATTGATCTAACATCACACGTGTTGCAGAGAAAAAAGAATGGAGTATTAGAGGTAAATTGTTACCTAGCTAGTGTTTTGTTTGATGTTGGTGAATAATTCTTGTAAAAAATTCGTATTGATTTTCACTCAAATTACTCAATCTCACTGTTCTACCATCACATGTGACATGTGTTGCAGAGAAAATGATTTGTGCTTGTGGGCGGATAATTAGCAATAGACTATAGGCCAATCCTAAAACTATAACCAAAACCCAATTCTCGCCAATAAACAGAGAAAGGAAGCCCAACCAAACCCTCAGCGAGGTAATAAATAATGTAGAAAGACTTTTATGGCCTTCCGTGTGATGCGGCCAGACCTCCAAAATTTGTTTTAACCCACTCTTCACCGAGAATCTCCTTATATAAGTGGGTAGATTATGTGTTGGTATATGGATTTATAAATTCAACGATTGATGTTATTGTATTGATATTTTATTATATTTATTTTCTAACTTTTATTTTATGTTAACAATGTATAATATAGTTAAATTAGTTTGATTTATTGGTATGATTATATTTTATTAATAAATATTATATAAAATTTCAAAATTATTATATTTTATTTTCTAACTTAGTAATTAACCGAAACCAAACAGTATTGCTTGATTGTATTTTGCAAAAGTTGCGGGTTGGTGCCCGCAAAATTGCTTGGTTTAATTATTTCTCAAGAAACAAAGTGTAAATCTCCTAACCAAATTAGAACACATCGTGCGACCAAAAAAAAAAAAAGAGAATTAGAACACATCGAACGTAGACGGGAAAAAGGTTAAAGAGAGCGTTGGAAAGGAAGCGGAGATTAAAATCCAAACGATGCCCGAGTAAGAGAAGAAGAAGAAGAAGAAGAGGAAAGCAATAATGGCGGCGGCAGAATGGCTGGAGAAGATGAAACCAGTAATCGCGGTGGTGATGCTTCAAGTAGGTTCGGCAGGGATGGACGTCATTTCAAAGGTAGCTCTGAACGAAGGGATGAGCAATTACGTCTTCGTCGTTTATCGCCACGCCGTCGCAACCCTCCTCATTTCCCCTTTCGCTCTCCTCCTCGACAGGTCGGCGGTTCCCCTCTTCTTTCTCCGCACCTTCTCGTCGCTAAAGACCAAAATTAAACCGTCGCTAATTGAACGTTTGTTTGATTGTGCTGTGAGGAACAGGGGATCCAGGCCAGAGATGACTCGCTCCATCTTCACCAAGATATCAGCCCTCGGCTTGCTCGAGTAATTAATTAATTTCTTGTCTTGGTTTTGGCCAAAAATTCCCTTGTCGTGATGTACACTGCTGCTTTTTTTTTTTTTTTTTTTTATTGTTTTTGTTGTTACTCGTAGGCCAGTGATAAACCAAAACTTGTATTTCCTGGGAATGAAGTACACCACAGCAACATTTGCGGCCGCCATTGTCAACATTCTCCCTGCTCTCACCTTCCTCATGGCTTTCATCATCGGGTGGGTAATTCATATTGTAGTCACAATTTCCATCAGCTCTTTCGCAAATTATAAATTAGCAGCTAGTTTACTTGAGCAAATAGTAATACCAAGGTTTAAGAGTGGGGAAAAAAAGCACTTACAAATTAGTTCATTCATCATCATCCAAATAGGTTCATCCAGCAACCACTTCATCTTCATCGTCCTCAAAACAATCTCCTCCCCAGACTCGAATTCTTCATCATGAAGCTCTCCCTCTCTTGCACTCCTAGGAAGCTCAAGCTACTCATTAATTACCAATGATTCTGTAACAACACTCAATGGTGCAGTGCACCATCTCATTCCTCATTCTCACCCCTAAATGCTTACATTGTGTGATCATCTCCTCCATTAAATAGCAAGTCTTGTGCTTCAGCTGCATTGGTAGTTAGGAGAATATCAACCTCAGATCGCTAGCCCAGTTAAGCGTGTTTAAATTCAATTAATAGCCTGGAGTGGATTAATCGTGTCTAGTTTCTCCTAGGCGCCCCTACGCATTATGAACGCCTAATTCTCTGTCTAGAGTCTAATTGAATCGTTTTGTCGCTGCTTAGCACTTAGGTGTAAGCAGAATTACGCATTCTTGAACTCTGATTAATACTAATAACAATAGAGGTGCAGGTTAGAGAAAGTGAGAATGAAATCAATCCACAGCAAGGCAAAGGTGTTCGGAACAATAGCAACGGTGGCAGGAGCGATGGTGATGACCCTGATCAAAGGCCCCGCGTTTGAGCAAGATGTTGCTGCTGGTGGTGGTAGCAGTGCAACAGTGGCCGAGTCCCATAGCTTCATGAAGGGTGGTTTGATGATGACAGTGGGTTGCTTCAGCTGGGCAGGCTTTGTAATCCTCCAAGTCAGTACCTCTCTAGCTCGCTCCTTAATTCTGTACACTAACATGTTTTTGAAGGGAAGCCAGCCTCCCTATCACAAAATTGAGTGATGAGATAATCCTGTGGGTGCAGGCGATCACATTGAAGGAGTATCCAGCTGATCTATCTCTAACGGCACTGATCTGCCTCGCGGGCACGATTGAAGGTGGGATTGTGGCGCTTTTGGTTGAGTGGGGGAGGCCGGAAGCTTGGGCGCTCGGATGGGACACCAAGTTGTTGGCTGCTGTTTATAGTGTAAGTAGTGCTGCTCCTTTTGTTCTGTTTCTGTCTCTTGGGCTAAAGCAGGAAAGCAACTTAATTGGTATTGTGATGGGGTTTATGTAGGGAGTGGTGTGTTCAGGGCTGCTGTTCTACATACAAGGGATAGTGATGAGAGAAAGAGGTCCAGTGTTTGTGACAGCATTCAACCCCTTGTGTATGGTTCTGGTGGCCATTATGAGCTCCATCTTCTTGGATGAGGAAATGTTCCTTGGAAGGTTTAAATTCTGACTCTCTCGATCTCTCTGTCCTGTGAACTCCATGATTATGAAGCTGAGTTGTGTTTGGGCCTGATGTAGGGTGATTGGGGCAGCAATCATAGTGGCGGGGCTTTACCTCGTGGTGTGGGGGAAGAGTGTGGACTATGATAATTCTTCTGCTACTTTACAAGAAAACCAGCCTCTGCTGGAGGAAAGGGTCTAGGAACTGCTTAGGAAAAGAACCAGGCTACCAGTACAACGATGGTTAGAAGCATCTGGAGCGCGCAAACCATAGAGACGAAAGATAGGAAAGGGTTACAAGTATGGCAATCGGATTAACTCAATGTGGCGGCTTGAATGGGAGATTTTCCAAGACTCCTTACGTGCTTCAGTTGAGAGATAGAGAGCGTACCCAAAGCTGGTTGGTTGATCAAAATTATATACATTATTTAATAAGCGGTTTGTGGTTTGTCTATATGTGATTCGGGGACAATCATATATGAAATTCTTGATATAGTGTAAACATGTTTTTAAGATATAGATGGTATTTGATTCTTTTAGATGTGTTATTTTGCTCATCTATAATTGATACACTTGAGTTACTCATGCAATATATTGCTAAATATTTGTTGCATGCATAATAAATTTATTATAAGAATTGGAAATCACAATGAAAGATCGAAGTTTGGTTATTGAAAACCAGGTTAGCGAATACGAAGAGAAACTTTACTTTGTCGTGGAAGATTGTTAGATCTTGATTTGGCGCAAATCAACAGGGCCAAGAATTGCAAAATTCAAAGTAAGTGTAGAAATATAAATGATACATTATATTTGTTAACTAGGTATGGACATGGTGCAATGTGTTACTTCCCTACTAGCAGGAGGCTTTCCTTTGAGATATATGTTCTAATTTGATCTTATTTTAATCAAGGTGATTCTCTTTGGGTGACAATCAAACCCTTAACAATGATGCAGTATCTAAAATTTCAAACCTCTACCCTACCTTGAACTCACTCAACTCAAGTTTAGAAGATATAACAAGAACCAAATTTTCAATCAATACCACCAAAGCTCCCCACTTTCTCTCGATTGCCTGCCAGGAGACTTTTTTCTTTCACACGAAGCTCTCCGAAATTCTCTCAACAATATTCTTCTTCTTCTAATCTAGCAGTCTCTCAAATTCCTTCCGTACGTTAATGATGGCTTATTTACTGAAATACAAATAATACAAATGCTAAACCAGAAAACTACATATTCACATTTGATCTCATTTCATAAATCTTGCTTTTATTTTTAGGCCGAGGAATGAAAACTTCTCAACACAAATGTCATCAATAGCGTTTAGTGAGTTACATGATTTTGAGTAGTTATTTGCTTGGTAATGAGGAAAAACGGAATTGTAAGATAATTTGATGACACTTGAAACTTGTGTTTGCAATTTCTTAGCAACATTACTTCTATTTCTAAGCATCTTTAGTCATTTTGTCATGTGATTAACATTCAATTCACTCATAATCACTCATTTATGCATTTTTATAACTTCAGGGAGTATTTGTATATTCTTAATGTCTTTTAATGCAGTTTTACATTGTTTTTAGGAGTAGACATTATAGCGAACGAGGTTACTAGAATACAAAACCGAATGAGAGCATATTTTAATGCCAGACAAGCAGCAATCATGGATTTACAATGATTTTGCCTTATGGCGGGACGAGAGAACATTGTGACAGGTCTGGACCAGAGTGCATAAAAGAAACCAAAGACTAGATCCAAAGAATGTAGTTGATGAGCATTAGTTACATACCAAAATCCAAGTCAAAGTTACATAACAACAAAGATAATGAAAAAACACAAACAAATATTATTTTATGAAACACGACATTTATTTCTTTAATTTTTTATTTATCGAAGCAAAATTACTTGGTTTTGGTCATTAATAAATATTTATATCATGGCAATCAAAAGGGTAAATAAGTGTTTGTGATATGGTAATCACAAGCATAGAAATTGTTGTGGGAAAGAGTGTGTGAATCGCACAGAGCCACGCTTAGCCATCCACTCGCGCGGCGCAACCGCGTTTTACTCGTCCAGTCGCGCGTTTGCTACCGCCGGAAGACAAGCCACCCAAGCTATAAGTGCACAAATATCGCCTGAGAGCTTAGTGAATCTGCTCTGACACTCTCGTCTTGTCACCACGTTTTGCTCACCAACCCAAGGGAACTATAAATACAACATTTACTCCACCTAGAAAGGGGGATTGTTTGGAGAACATTATCTCTCGACAACACTTAAACTCTGTCCTCTCTGGAAATGCTCTGACTTCTCTCTTATGTAACCCTCTTCATTGATCCTGAAACACCCTAGTTCGGCCGGACACTACTTTTACCAAAATACCCTTGATAAATCATGAAATAAAATAAGAACTAAAAATACTTAGAAAAATAGCAGAAACATTTCATAATAACTTTGATAAATACTGAAAACAACTGACATTACTTAAACTCGAATCCCTGACACTTCGGCAAACTAAGACATTAAAAGTCTCTACCTTATCTCCAGTATATACTCTATAATCATAATTATAAAGTATAATAACTAATTAATCTCAAATGCTGCTGCTGACTGATAACCTTGACTAGACATCCTTTGTGATGCCCGTACCGTCCTTCTCCAGCTGGTTTCCCTCGAACCGTCTCTATAACTGCTCATCCAGCTCTTTCTCTTCAAACTGGTGAGTGAGTTGGGTTCAGCCTACGCCCTTATGTTTTAATACTTCTAATACTCGAGTACTTTACTTAAACACCTAACTTTAACTAGTGGAAGTTGTTTGTACTTCAAATCTTAAAATCTTAACTCTTAAACCTTGAGGGAGTTGAAGTTACTCTCCTCTCTTAAAGCTCAAATCTTGACTTAAATACTTGACTGACACGGGGATCCCTCACTAGCTAGTCTGGTTGCCCAACTCATACGTATGAGAAGCCCTCTAGGCTTTCCTTAAACTTATCGTGGAAGGCTCTTCTGCCTCAAAGATCTCAAATGGAAACGGACTGGCGCTAGTGACTAAAAACACTTAAAACGACTTCACCTTCTTGCAGGTGAGTTACTTCTTAAAAACAACTTGTTCTTAAACTTTAACAATAACTTATACTCATAAAATTTCAAAGTAAATAGTAAACATTCACTTCAAGTCATAATTCAAACAATTCACATATCATCAACCAAACGCATAAACAACCATATCAACCACTTCACAAAATACTTAAAATGCGTAAGGTAACTTCTTGAAAATAGGTCAGGCGTAGAATTTACCCCCTTTACATTCACCTGATGCTGAAGTTGATTGAATTGAATCCAAAGACTGATTTCCCTTCACTTTATTGTAGCTTTACTTTGCAATCCGTACTTGTGCACATAAACATGGCCATATCAACATCAACCGGAAGTTCTTTGCTTCCACCGCAATTTCTCCCTGGAACGCACCATTTGCTTGCTCGGGATCTAGACCTTAGCTACTTCAAATCATAAACCTCACCACATACTAAAGATCCCTTGCCATACTGCTCCAAACGTATAATATTAGGCTCCTTTCACCAAAAGATTCGTACAAACGAGGTCCAAATTGGTATAAAAGCTTTTTCGTATTTCTCGAGCCAAGCTTTCGCAGTTGCATTATTTCCTTCTCGTTGAGAGACCATTTGGACTTCCTCGCTGGCCTTTACTGCTGCTAACTCAATTGTCTGCCTGTGATTTGGAAGATGTGGGTTTGCTCCTGGTCGAGGGACAAAAATACAGAAGCTGGGGGACTTTGAGGCCGGTTGGTGGCGTGAGGTGAGGGGAGGTGCAACGGTTGTGGTCTTCTCCCTCTTTGTTTTCTTTTGCCAATTGTTGTCACACGTGGGAAATGGGGAAAACAACTGATGGGGTTTTATTTGTTTTAGGTTCAGGCCGAGTGGGGTTGGACTTTTAGGGTTAGCTTAGGTTTAATTAGCTCAAGGGGTATTTTGGGCATTTCATAAATTACGGGTGAGTTTAATCCGAAACTCAACTAACGTACGTAACTTACTCGATTTATGTCGAAACTCGAAACCGTTTGAACCGAGAGTTCGCATTTTTAGTCCTCGTGGATATTACGATGGAATTTGACAAATTCCCCCAAGGGTATAATAGTCATTTTGAATTTTGGAAAGATCAGGGTGTAACATTTACTCCACCCTTATGAACATTTCGTCCCCGAAATTTGCTCGTAACTCATCCTTCTATCAACACCCTTCTTAAACTTACTTCACACGATCATTTACTCTTACCATAACAACTTCGTTGGTAACCTTTGATCATATACATTTCTTTAACTTGTAGCACTCGTGTAACATTGAGTGACTAACTGCCCTTTTTGTTTCACATCTTGACTCAAAAGTGATGAACAAAATGCCGACTTGACTGGACATGTTGATCCAATTCACCTTGTAGTTGTTGTTGAACCCAAATCCAAAATCAAGATATCACATTTCCCCCCTCCTTGCGAAAAATTTCGACCTCGAAATTTTCTCCTTGTGCTACTCCAAGTCTCACTTGTGCTAATATTTTTTACGAAGGGTTGTACCTCCCTTTACTTGTACGACATCGAGCTATGAACCCTTTCCTCTAATTCGTGTGGTTCTTGGCCAACTAATTACTCACTCACTTTTCATAAATCTCTTGCTCAAGCTAGTTGCTTGCTCAATGCGTCTATGGCACTACGACACTCTCCCTTCTTAAATGCCTTTGTTGCAATGGCTTCGTAACTCATATTGTTCTTAGCGATTTGTCTTGGGTCTCTACTTTGGATTCCTTAAGAACTTCAAAGGAAAAAAATTATTAGCCAGCCCTATTCAGGTCATGACTCGTCATAACTTCAGCTCATAACAGACCCAGACCTTGAACTTCGTCCTCCGTATCTTGACTGCTAACGACTATCCTTGGTATAAAATGTATGTAGAGAATGTTTGACCTGCTTAATGATTGACTCTGATGCTGGTTCCTAGGTATCGCTTCTTCTCCCTTTGTAGGCCTCGTTATTCTCCTCTTTGATAATTCCACTTGATACGCACTCTTGATGCCCGATTCACCATATATGGTGCCTTTAGCATAAGAAAATCCCTTACACATCCCTATTGATGTTCTTAATGCCCCTTTCAACCCTAAGGTTACTAATGGCGGCTTAACCTCCATCTTGTTACATTGCAAAACTCTTTTAACGTAACCTCATCTATGGTTGACCACGTAGATCACCTAGGTCCTTGTACCTTCTAACTTTGAATTTCTTACTTTCTTCCAAGATTCTTTGTCTCTCCCTTTAGCCATCAACTCAATGGCCATCTCCTCATTACTTCTTGTTTAACCCTGAAACCTCACAGTACCTCTCTTACTTTCTGTATGCCTTAAAGGCATCATTTGCATCTTTCTCTAGTTTGCGATCAACTCCATGAATCTTCTCGCCATGGCGACGAATTTTGGTCACCACCTGCCCATTTATGTTCTTTAAATCCCCAATTCCTTAATCTTGATTGTACTGTCCATGTGAGTTTATTTCTTCTCTTGATGGTTC